GAGGTCTCGCTGCCCAGGCGGGTCTCGAACCTGCGGCCTCAGGCAATCCACTCACCTCAGATCCCAAAGGCGCGGGATTACAGGCTGAGCCACCGAGCCCAGCTTGTCGATCTATTTTTGAGTTAATTTTTGTAAATGATGTGAGGTGGGGGATTCAATTTCATTCTTTTTGTATGTGAAAATCAGGTGTCACAGCATCAATTGTTGAAGAGACTCTTAATTCTTCATCGAGTATACTTGGTATCTTGTAAAAAATCCATTGACCATAGATGTAAGGATTTCTTTCTGGACTCTCAATTTGATTTCACTGGTCTATATATCTATCCATAAATAAGATCATGCTGTTTCGATTATTGTAGCTTTGAAATCACAATGCATAAGTCCTCTAATTTTATTATTTTTCAAAATTGTTTGGGTTATTTGGGGCCCCTTGCAATTTCATATGACAGCGAGGGCCCACTTTTTCATTTCTGCAACCTTAACCACTTAATAATAGATTTATTTTTTAAGTCGGGATTTCACTTTGTCACCCAAGCTGGAATGCAGTGGCACGGCCATAGCTCACTGCAGCCTCAAACTCCTGGGCTCAAGCAACCCTTCCACCTCAGTCTCCCAAGTAACTAGAACTATAGATGCAGGCCACTACCTGGCCAAACTTTAAACAATTTTTTTTTGGTAGAGACAAAAATCTCACTATATTGCCCAGGCTAATGAACAGATTTTTAAAAGTTTAGATTCAACACTAAAAATAATCTATCATATAACTGAAGAGTAGTGTTATTTAATTTTGGGTAATGACTTTAAAAGCTTGGCTTAGACAATTTGGTAGCGACTTTAAAAGCTTGGCTTAGACAACTGATGTTCTATTAAGGACAAATGGTATTAACTGTAGAAATATGTTTCAATAACATCTTGGAAAGCTATCACTACCGCTTCACAGTCCAACTGGTTGAGGTACCCTAAGACCCCCAGGGTTCCCAAATGAACATTATCCTGAGTTTGCAATTGGCTATGGTACAGTTGAAACTTGGTTCCAGTCATTGACCTGTCAGTTACTAGACTATAGTGATTGTACATGTCCTGAGGATGAAAGAAGACACCACTCTTAAATTCCTCTTGTATTTAAGCTCAAAGCACATTTGAGTCATAACTCCATGCTTCACCTACCAGGAGGCCTGATTTCAAAACCAGTTGTTACACCCTAAGAAGAATGAGAACATAGAAATGAAAAGAAAAAATTATTATAGGTCCACATTCCCTATCCAAAACCTGTGATGCCAAAACCTTTGTGTTTCAGAATTCAAAATGTTCCAAGAACAAAAACAAAAACAAACAAAAAAACTCTTATGTGTATATATTGCCTCTATTATTAATGCACCCCCAGCGAGGTCCGAAACAGCATCCCTTACACACATATTTTGCAGCCAAGTATATAAATATTCACTCTAGGGGAATAAATAGAAAACAAAAGTCTTGTGTTGGTTGAGGTCAGACATCTTCATCAAATGACTTTTCTCAATCAGGTATTATAACCAAACGAATTACCAAAAACAATTTTTTCAGCACTTTTTTTTTTTTTTTTAATTTATTTTTTTTGAGTTGGAGTCTCACTCTGTCGCCCAGACTGGAGTGCAGCGGCCGGTCCCGGTCACCGCAGCCTTGACCTGCTGGGCGCTGGGCTCCGGCGATCCCTCCTCCTCAGCCTTCCAAGTAGCCGGAATTACAGGCATGCGCTACCACGCCTGGCTGATTTTTTGATTTATTGTAGAGATGAGGTCTCGCCGCCCAGGTGGGTCTCGAACCCGCAGGGCTCAGGCAATTCACTCACCTCAGCCTCCCAAAGGTGCAGGATTACAGGCTGAACCACCAAGCCCGGTTTTTCAGCACTTTTAAAACATTTGAATTGTGGATAAAGAATTGTGAACAACTAAGAACGTATTCAGCACCCAATAAAAGAAGAACGCAAAGCTCCATTAGAGCAGCTTGTCATATACACACAAATCAAAAGGCTGGCCAATTCTCTTAGAATGAAAGACTAATTGACTGAAAGAGGAAAAGACCCCATAGACTGGCATCTTTTCTCATCAACTCACAAATTGAGCATTTACCAAATCAATATTTCTATCAGTGACCAGCTACAAATAAACTCTAAACCAGAAAATGCATTCTAAATTTGAATAAAAGGAAAAACAGAATTGTTACACCATTTTTAATTATCACATTTAAACTTATAATTAATATCCAATATTAGCAAAGGTGCTGGGAATACATACAGATATTGGCATGAGCAATTGGTATAAACTTTCTGGGTAGCAATTTGATGAATACGGCAAAAGCTTTAAAATCAGTCTTACCCTTCTATCTTTTAATTCTATGTCTAGAAAATGTTACTTGATTGCTTAAATTAATTAGGATACAGCTATATGACAGTATACAAATAATTATTTTTAAAATGTATAGGTCAGCTGTGGTGTCTCACACCTATCAAGGCTTTGGGAGGCTAAGGCAGGAAGATCACTTGAGGCCAAGAGTTCAAGACAACAGTGAGATCCCGCTGCTGACATTTTTTTTTTTAAATAGGTATGGTGGCATGTACCTATAGTTCCAGCTACTCCAGAGGCTGAGACTGGAGGATGGCTTGAGCCCAGGAATTTGAGCTATGAATGCATCATTGCACTCCAGCCTGGTGGGAAAGTAAAACTAAGCCTCTAAAAATAAATAATAATAAAATAACTTATTGAAGAATATTCATGACACAGATAATTTCAACAATATATCTCAATGTGATAAAGTAGATATATAAATATAAGCATTTTATGGCATATATCCAGAGGAACTAATGGCAGGAACTCAAACAGATATTTGTACACCCACGTTCAGAGCAACATTATTTACAACAGCCAAAAGTGGAGCAATACAAGTGTCTATTGATGGATGCATAAACAAAACATATGATGAATATTATTCAGCTTA